GGGTGTTGTTGGGGGTGGGGAGGGAAGATTTCAGAGCCCTCGAGGTCCTTGGGCAGCGGAGCACGGAGGTGAGCATACTCAAACACGCCCAGGTTCTCGGGCTTGGTTGCGTTTGAGGTGCCAATCTGAGCAGGCTTGACGGAGAGGTTGGTTTGTCCAAGACGACGGCGGGCAAGGAGCTCATTATCTGTAACCAAGGGTAACGCGAAATCGTTAGCGATGGCCTCGAGGCATTGGGGGAGCACGAGCCGGGTAGATAGCCGATGCGCGCGGTCGCGCCACCACGCGCCAGTGTTCGAACTTACAGGTAGGAGCAACCTCGATCGTGATGAGCGGATTAAACTGTTTTGGAAGTGTTCGCGACATGGTGGGGGAATGTCGAATGAAGTGGAAATGAAGATCTTGCGGATGACTTGGAGGGAAAGATGCGCCAACGTTGGCCACGTAGCAGGCGCGTCAAGCGACAAAAATCACAAATCAAATATTACCACCGATAAAACTTGTATCTTGGCAAAAGAGAAGTGCAACCAAAATTACGATTGATAAGGACCAAAAAAAAAAAAAAAAAAAAGACAAGATAAAGAAGACAATCAGGAGAGATGAGAGGATGCGAGTCGCGAATAATTGCGTCGTTCTGAAGCTTGACTTGTTCCGGTAAGGTCCGGTAAAGAAATGGTCATGTTTGGTAGTTGAGGTTTCTGGTTGGTTAATTGAATTGATACAGAGTATCCAATATACCCCAATGTATTTTAATTGTTGGCCCCGTGACCTTGACATTCCGGGCCAACACTTTCCGGCTTTGGACTTGATCTTCATCCTTAACAGAGTCCAGTGTGTCTTTGTTTACTATGCTTATGGATAGTGCTTCTGAGTATATATGTTGTATGAGTATGATTATATACATGCTGAACCTACATACTGCATTGAATTGCTACTAATCGTTATACAAATCCCCCCTTTTCCACACGGAATAAATATAGATATATATATTGGAAATATATGTGTACATACGCATCTACCAATACACGTTATATTCTCTTTGCATGTTTTCACATCCTGCAATATTGGAATCAACAATCGACAACAATTGTATATTTCTTATCAACGTGGGCAACTACGTTTAGTTGCATGGTCATCGGCCCCCACACCCCGAGTTGGGGCATAATTGGGGTCTATATAGTGTGGGATCATTCCAATTCCCTACATCTATAATCTATACATTGTCAGTAAAAAAACAAAACGTGGCCCATAAAATTCCACGCGATGTAAATACTCCGGTTAAATATAACCGTGCAGGATCACCGGTGCGTAAACGTGCATACAGAAGTGGGAATCCGAATAGCCTCGCCCCTCTCCCACCGCCTTTCCACCCCCACCAAGGTCTCAGGAGACGATTCGAGCTTTAGCCCTTTTGATTTTTCTTTATTGTTTCGAGTTTTGACTTTGTTTCTTCTTTTTCTTCACTGCCCAATCAACCCCCCTTTTTCACGATATCACTTCCCCAAACTCCAATCCTTGGTTCTGTGTCCCCCGCCTTCTAAATCTGTAAACAATGGCCGACCACCACGACGATGAGCTCGCTTCCACCACCACCGAGGGTTTCAAGGTCGGAGAGAAGAAGACCCTCGATGAGTACAACCAGCTCGGTGCGTTGATCGAATTACAATTCATTGGCAATGTCTAGCCCTCGGTTATTTCTCTGCTAACCGTCTATTATTTCCCCCGCAATAGACAAGGACGATGAAGCTATGAACCGCTGGAAGGCCTCTTTGGGTCTCAACTCCGGTGAACCCATCGCCAATCCCAATGACCCTCGCAAGTGCATCATCAAGTCTCTGGCTCTGCGAGTCGATGGACGTGAGGATGTTGTTATCGACCTGTCCTCCCCGGGCTCTGTTGACAGCCTGAAGGATAAGCCTTTCACGATCAAGGAGGGCTCTAAGTTCCACATCAAGGTTACCTTCCAGGTCCACCATGAAGTCCTGAGTGGCCTCAAGTACTTGCAGGTTGTCAAGCGTAAGGGAATTCGTGTCAGCAAGGACGAGGAGATGTTGGGCAGCTACGCACCCAACACTACCTCCAAGGTTGACTACTCCAAGGAATGTGAGTATTTAACACTGGCTTCTGTTTCCTGGTTTTTAAATCTAGCTTTTACTGACACTGATCCCTTCTAGTTAACGAGGAGGAGGCCCCGTCTGGCATGATCGCCCGTGGCCACTACAACGCTGTCTCGAAGTTCGTTGATGATGACCAGCACACTCACCTGCTGTTCGAGTGGTCCTTCGACATTGCCAAGGACTGGTAAACTTGAGTTGAGAGCGCTATCTCGTTAAGTTATTAAGCGGCCGTTTGTTTTCAAAGCGTGATGAGTTTCTTTCTTTGACAAAACTGTTAGAGATGCGTCCCACTGGGCTGATGCTTTGGATCCCAGTTTTATTATTTATGCGTCATACTGAGTCTCAATTGTTGGTATATGGTATTTTCATTTCACATGCCAAGTAGCACATCTAGCTGTTGGTGAATGCACAGCTTTATCCGAACTCCTGTCTAGTGCGGGGGGTAAAAAAAAAGGAAATTGAAATACATGAACATTGACATCAAACAAAACATTAACAGTAACCAATGGGTATCATGAGAAGATGCAGAGATTCACAAGAAGTAGTCGACCATTGGGCTAGAGCCATCCTTGATCTGCTGCTGCTGCTGACCCAGCTGTTCAAGGCGGTGGGCATCGTTTTCGGGTGCAGCGTCAAAAATATTGAAGAAGCGCTCCCCAGAGTCGCTCACTTCGAGCACACTAGCCAAGTTTCCACAGCGGTAGCAGTAGTTGGGTGCACTCCAGACCGTGCTCAGACGGTCATCGTAAAGAACCTGGTACCCTTCTTGGCATAGTTGATGTGCGCGCAGGATGTGGGACATGCTGTTCACCTCTAGGAACTTCCGCACAACCTGTGCTCCAAAAGTGTATCCAGCACCGCGGGGTGAGAGTGAGAATTCGTCGCGTTCTGTGTCGGGGTCGGACCAGACCAAATCGGCCATGGGGCCTTCGTGTGGGATCTCGCGGAAACGGTCGATAATCTTGATTTGGTCGATTGAATGGATGGAAGGTGACAGGCCGCCATGTACACAGAATATCTCGTCATTAATCACGACACTCAGTGTCAAAAAGTCGAACATGTCGGTGAAGTAATGCCAGACATTGGCATTACCGTATTTGCGGGCGCACTCGGTGTAGAAACCGTATGACTGGGTGACGCCGCGCGACTCGTGGTTGCCGCGGATAAGGTGTACTCGTTGGGGATATCGCAACTTGAGACACACCAGAAGTGAAATGGTCTCAACACTAAAAAGGCCGCGGTCGACATAATCGCCTGTCGATTCTCTTATCAGAAAACACTTCACAACAAAAGCGAGCAACAATATGTTCAAAGCCGAGGCCTGCTTTCATCCTTGAACAGAGCGTCCTCCGGGTGTGACTAACCGAGGAATAGGTAATTGGTATCCGGACAGAAGCCGCCGATCTTGAAGATCTCGATCATATCAAAAAATTGGCCGTGGATATCGCCGACCACAGTGACCGGAGCAGCAATATGTACGACATTGCTTTCCTTCATCAAAAGTTCCTTCGCTTTGAGGCAGATCGCCTCGATCACCGAATCTGCGAGTAGCTCTTTTCGGTAGAGCCGGGCGATGCACTCATCGAGGTCGATATTTGCTATGAGGCAACAGGTTAGCATAACTTCAGAGATAATTATATCCTGGAATAAAAAAAATAAAAAAAACCATGCACTTACTCGGTAGACCAGGCATTGTGGTGAGATGCAGATACAGTGACTTCAAGACAAACGAGGGACAACGACTCCTCCTGGAGATAGTACTTCTTAACAAATGACGGAGAGCTCCCTGTACTTGGTTGGTGTGTCAAGATAGGCGAGTGTAGAGAGCTAAAGGAAAGTAATATTCGAGAGGACGAAGGACGAAGGACGAGGTCGAGATGAAAGGTTAAAAAGACGACAATAAAAGAGATGGGTGCGTCAATCCAGCAGCAAGCATCCTGAGTGCAGCCAATCCTCGTTTCAAGTGCGGAGGGAAGGCTCTGGAATTAAAGATCGAGGCGACATCAGAGCCGAATTGCGGGATGAGCTCAGGCACATGAGAGCGGTTATACCCACACCGCTTTTGTTCCTGGACGCCTGAATTTAAAGCCCACAATTGACCAACTGGCCAACTACCAGAACGACATAATACTTTTCTCAGCCTCCCCGGCCAGCAATTTGCGGTCTACCAGCGATTGAACATAACCCCTGGTAAGTTAATTGGCTACAGCTAGTAGTTTTACACTATCCAGTTCAGCGCGTGACTAGGATGACAAACATTCTAACACACAAGAGAACCGATCTGGGCCAAAACCCTCTACAGATTCCCCTAAGTTGACTACCCCCAATTCGGAGCCTTATACAATATAATTTTAGATATAATTTTGGCGTCCAAGTCATAGTATCCAGAAAATTCAGTGTAGTAATATCGGGCACTTGCTTCCGTTGAGCACCTTTGATTTTCGATATCTAGTTGAGGGAGTTATTTCTCTGTTGAAACCTATTTTCACTATGCACAGACTTATAGGCTCACCACGAAGTGTTCATGGCTTTGGTGCTTTCTGTATATGATGTACAAAAGAAGGACACTCATCGCTTTTAGCGTTTTGGGCGGAGTTCGGGAAGCGCCCCGCACCGACCCCAACTAGGTTTAGCCCAGTCTTGGCATTAACCATAAAACAGATCGCTGGGGGAACTCTTGCAGCGAGACGTTTGGTCCTCTCGAATCCCACTAGCAGGCCGTAGAGCAGCTTTATTAGTGAAACAACACAGCCCCTGGGCTATGGCGATGCAACGTTTCCTATGCCTGTGCCGAGTATTAGGGCTGAGCGTCATCATTCAAGTGTCCATACATAGGTCTCCAGTCTGATAGAACCGAAAATTGAATTGAATGTCTTAAAAACCTCAAACATCTACCTTGACTTTGTCCCACTGCGAAGTGGTAACCCTTCCATCTTTGATCACAGCCAGAATGTGCTCCACTCGATCCAGAATGGTGATATCCTCCAGCGGGTTTTTGTTCAAGATCAAAAGGTCTGCCACAAATCCCTCATGAACCTGACCAAGCCTATCCTCCTGCATAAGAAGACGAGCGGCGTTGACAGTAGCACTGCGCAGGATCTGCAATGGAGTCAAAACCGAACTGCGCACCGAGAACTCCTTGCTCTGAGCAAAATGCATCGGACCAAGAAGATCAGTTCCAAAGCAGACGGTCACCCCCATGTCAACAGCCATCTTCATAGACTTCAATCCCTTGTCAAGAACCTCCTCGTTCTTGGCAGCGCCATAAGCAGACAGGAAATCCATCTGCTTAGACATGACATGCGTAATGAGCGTCGGAGTCAAGAAAACATCCATCTTAGCCATCATCTCCGCCGTCTCAAAATCAATAAGGTTCCCGTGCTCGATACCGCGCACCCCAAGCTTGATAGCCTGTTGAATCGCTTGCGGTGTGTAGCTATGACTCGTAACATATGTACCCGCGTTCCGTGCAACAGTGACAATAGCCTTAATCTCTTCATCCGAGAACTGCACATGTTCGATACGGTCGGTGGGACTAGCAACGCCACCTCCGCCCATGATCTTGATAAAGTCCGCTCCCTGGCGCAGCTCCTCGCGTGCATACTTGTAGCACTCCGCTGGGCTATCGACGATCCTGCTGATTCCGGAGATAGAGCCACCACAGCAGAGCTGGGTATCGTGGGATCCGCGCAAGTCGCCATGTCCACCGGTTTGGGAGAGTGCGTGTCCAGCGATGAAGAGACGAGGGCCTGGGATCACACCGTCCTCGACGGCTTCTTTGATTGCGAGACTTGCGCCGCCACAGTCTCGGATTGAAGTGAAGCCGCGGTCTAGCATAGATTTGAGCACGTATGGCTGCCGCAGGAGACTGACCCGCTCGCTCATGTCTTTGTAGGCTCGTAGATTGGCTTCACCGGGAACTACTGCGACGTGGACATGGCAATCGATTAGGCCTGGGCACAGGTATTTTCCGCTTAGGTCAATCACATTTTCTTCGGGAAGGTCACCTGTAGCGGTAGTTGAGTTGGCTGTGGCGATTTGAATGATCTTGCCTTCTGAAATGCGGACTGTAGCATACTGGATCAACTTTCCCTCAGTTGGATCAATAATGGTGGCGTTCACAAAGACCAAAGTTCTTTGAAGGTTGAGCTTCCAGGGTTTGATAACTCGGGAGATGTCCATGTTTGTAGTATATTCCTCGCCGATTTTCTTTGGGGAATGTTGTATGAAAACAATCCATATCCGACTAGGCAACCATGTCTCTCAGATAGGTATGGTAGCACTGCAGGAAAACGTAATGAAATAACATATCTCAGCTTTTAACTGGCAGTCCGGGGAGTTCGGGGAGACCAGACCTTTATATAGAACCCACGTTCCGCCTTGGCTGTTTTGATGTCAGCGGGCTCTGCGCTAAATTCGCTGGATCCTATGTTAACGAGCCTCCCGCGTTGGAGTTTGTTGATATAGCCAGTTAAAAGCAACAAAGGTGAGGGACAACATGAAGCGATTATCCTTCGGTAATAAAGCTCACTAGCCGCTGCTTGGCATCGTGATGATTCTCCCCGCGTTATTGACAGAAGATCCTTTGCCTAGACACATGGGCAGTGAGCATGTCTGCGTAGGCAGATAGTACGAAGGAAGAGGTAACAACGAAGTTCTCATATAAACTGTGGAACTGGAGTCCTTATGTAGCACCCTGAGACCAAGTTCTGTTCAACAACCTTTTAAGTGGCCATACAATGAACCAAAATTACTCTAAAAAAAATCCTTCAAATTCAAATTTCGTATTTTCGGGGTATACCCAAAAGGTTGTCCAAACAAGCCGCGTCTATACATGTGGCCATCATTCGAACAAGTTATCGAAGCAGTTGCTGTGCTTCTTTATGAACAGCTTCTGTTTCAGAATCAGTCTCTTCTTCAGACTCATCATCTTCCTCTTCTGAGTCAGACTCTTCTTCCGAGTCCGTCTCCTCTTCCTCTGAATCAGTTTCGCCTTCCTCGGAATCCGTTTCAGATTCTGTCTCGGTTTCCTCTTCCTCCTCTTGTAGCCACTGATCAAGAGTCTTTTTCCCAGCCGGGTCTAAAGGCATAGCTGGACCGTTTCGGGCCCGACTTGGAATAGAAGTGGTTTTGTGTTCACGCAGTGCTTTGTCAAGGCGGTCACCTGCAGTCATGGAGGTGGTGTTGCTAGATGTGTCTGGTTTCACATCTTCGGTGCGGAGGCTGGGGTTGGGTTCCTGGCCAGGCTCAACCCAGTCTGGGAGATTCGTGTAGCCTCGAAGTCCGTGGTAACCAGCATCGGGGCCAACGACGAGAGTAGCGGAGCCGATGAGCAGGTCCTTGCGCGTCTCGGATGGGCTGGGGGCATGGGGTACTGGCTTTGGTGCCAGGAGGAGAAGGTTGGCAAGTTGGGTGGAAGAGGGTGTTTCCAAGAGGCTCTTGTAGAGACGCGCCCGGTCACGTAGGTCGTAAGAGGTGTCATAGCGTGCGAGAAGGAGGAGATACCTCCATAATAGCGTAATACGGTCTTCGGTTGCTTCTTCTGTTTGCTTCGGTTCAGCACCGTCATTTTCTTGGCGGCTCTCCTCTCCTTCAGTTCGCTCGGCATCTTGTGATTCATCGTTCCCATTATCAGTCCATTCGTTGTGGAACTCTTGCTGGGACTTGGCGGGAACTTCAGGGAATGGCTGCGATGCAATTTGTTCCGGCTGTTCCTTTGGTGGATTCTGCAAAAGATGGTGTAAATACACCTTAGCACCAAGGAGAACAATTTGCTGTTTGACAATTTCCATCTCATCTGCGAATCCTTTCATTAATATGCGGAGGACATCAGGCGCAATATTGTTCTCTGGATCAATTCCAGCGAACTCGCCAACCAGCCAGATAATGGTAGCTCGTGCGTCTGGGTGGGTTGTTGAGCCCAGGTGCTTGACAAGCTGGAGAACAGTATTTTTATGTGAGGCTGGATCTTGTTGGATCAAGTGACGGATGACAGTTAGTGACTCTGACACAAGGTTGCCGTCTGGACTAGATATCTGGCCGAGAAGTATCCGTAGGCACATGCTTGCGGTACTTGTGTCTGCTTGCGCGCAACGCCCAATGGCTCGTACACTCTCTCGTACTAGCTCAGGATCTGTGCCTTTCGAAAAGTGCTCTAGTTCGCTGATTATGACTCCCTTCCAGTGTTTTCCACAATGTGGGAACAGGATAGTTAATACCTCCAGTTTGAGGCGCCATATATGCGGTGGGTCGTTGGCGTGGACAAGGAAATGGGCCGTGTATCTCGCGAAAGGCTTAGGAACCCTTAGAGCAACGGCAACAATGTTGTACAGGGCGATGAGTTGCATGTCCTCTGGGGTTCGTAAGAGAGCCACAAGGGGACCAACTGCTGTCGCAATATATTCTGATGGAGCAAGGTAAAAGAAGCAACGGACAACGCTGACAATGACGGCGGAGTTTCGACTCTGCAGTAGAACCTTGCAGGCCCGGAGTAGAAGCTCAAGATCAGGATCCATTACCGGAACTTCGTACTCTTCGACATCATCCTGGTTATCCTGTTGCTGCTTCTCATCGTCATAGAATGCCGCCGGGGCTGTGTGCTTGACCTTCTGAGTTCGTTGAGGGAAACACTTTCGCGCATAAAATGTCAACAGGCGCAGCGTTGCTAGCTGGCCCCATTCATCCATATCAACCAGCTTCTTGACTAAGCTGCGATAGTGCTTGTGGATTAAGTCAATCTCCTCCGGACACAAATCCAAGAATGCCGCGACTGCGGGGCCGACGACGAAGTATTGAGAATCACCCAAAAGTATCTCAAGATATCCCATCAGTTGTGGCAGCGTGTTCGGGTCCAGACGATAACACTTTGGAATAGCCAAAGCAGCCGCTTTGCGCACGTGTGGACTCATATCTCCACATCCTCTCTTGATAGCCAGCGACACAATCTGGCTGATCACCGGAACCTGAATTCCCGACATAGTCCGAAGCGCCATTGTTCGAACCTGTGGGCTTGAATCTGTCAGTGATTTCTGGATCGCGTTGATGGACAGTAGTGCCAGATCCGGCTCCGCCTCCGCATGATGGACCAAGTAGATGTAGACCAATTTCTTGACTTCGAGGCTGGCGCTGGCCACATTCTTGACAACCGCTGAAAAGAAAGTAAGGGAGGGCTCGGACCGGTACATCAACTGTAAGAACAAATTGGGTTAGCCATTGCGTTTTCAATAGTTCCTGTTCACGGTCCCGTACCGAGATGACCCTCCGCATTCCATCCAGAACTTCCCGCTCATGGCGACTATCAAGGAGCTTCTTGATGTGCGCGGGGCTGTATGTTCGCGAGGTATAGTCGGTGCTTGAGGTCCGATTGATAGCAGCGGACTGGGCAGCCTCTAATGTGAGCTCTCGAGCTATGCGCACAGTGACGTTCCATGGTCAGTTCGGGCCGAATAAAGCGGATTGCAACCCAACCCGACATACCTGTTTCCAGCATCGAGGATATCCTGGAAATTGTTTCCATCTTTCCAGTCTCTGAGCGCCCAGTCCAAGGGTTTTGGGTGACTCGGAGGAAATGGGTGAGAGGTGAGGGGAGGAAAGGCGGAGCAGCTCCGCGGAAGTGAAGTGGATGATGCCGCAATTCTTCGCCCGCCTTCGACCTGCAACATCTGCAACATTCTACTATTTACACACCACCTGACGAAAGATTCACGACCACCATGGGGTTTTGTGGTTGACGGATAATGAGTTGAATATGAAATGATTGATTTCTCGTTGATGATCTCGGAGGGGCAATAAGTGGGAGCTACAACTAGCTATTTGAAGTAATGAGTCCAACGTTCACGATCGCTCACCGCGACTTGGTGTCCGATCTCCTGCAGCAACTACTCGAAGGCAATTCAGATACCCATCTCATTGTCTGTGCAACCAGAGACGAGTTCATGGTGCAACTCGCAGCAGCCATTCGCTCACAGCGCGCTGACCCAGACACTGCCACGGGCCATGGCCTACTTACAAAAACCATCGGGTTGCTTGCAAGATCTAGCAAAATCCGGCTGGCATTCTGCCCGAGTTTAGAGAGTCTTAGGGCATACCTTGCCGTTTTAGGTCCTGCTGTTGATGTGACTATTGAGGACGGGTCGCTTTCCAATGACCGACAACTCCTTGCGGTTCTTGATATGATAGCCTTGCATGTTACGACTTCGGAGTTCTCGGCACAGGGACTTTCGAGAACACTTGCCTCTGTCGTTGAGGCTTCCGCCAGAGCGGGGATGGATCTCCAACTTTATGAGTGCATGGATGCCCTGGACCCTTCAAGTGCCGTTAGGGGAAGCAAGCTATGGGATGCGAACGTTCCTTTACTGAACGGGTCAGTTCGAATGCGATCGGACCAAAGTACCTGGGGTGGACGAGGCGTCACCGTGAAACGGGTTGCCGAACGTTGGTTTGAGTTTGAATTTGACCACCATTGAACGGGAAAAAACTGGAACACGCTTAATGCTGAAATCAGACATGATATTGTAACATAATAAAACTCCTAAGAATGGATTTGTACTGTCCGGGTATCCTATAGCTGACCGCTGAACTCCTGTTTCGCACATAAATGACAACTGATTGATCATAGAGACTTCTCCATCTCTGTCATGTACAGCTTGATATGTGACTCTAGCTTTAGGTACTGGTCGTGGGCTGACTGAATCTCGGTCTCGATGTTCTCCTTCAAGTCGACCATCTAAAAAGAGTGGTTAGCAGTGGTTCATCCTTATGACACAGGGTAAAACATACCTTCTTCTCTGTCTGTTCAATGCGAATACGCCTCCGCTCCATATCGCGTTGCTTCTCCGCACGTTCCTCGCGGAGTTGTTTTTGAACATTTCGAAGTTCTTCCATGCGTGCCTGCGCAAGTTCGGCTTTCTCCTGTGCATTTTTCTGAAGTGCCTCAATCCGCTCAATCCAACGGGCTAGTTGACGCTGCAGGAGCTTCTCAGTCTGCTCGACCTCGCGGACGCTGTTCCCCCTGTCCGAGATAGCCTCCGTAGTTCTAGCAGCACGAGACTCCTCTTCGTCCTCTTTCTGCATTTCAGCTGAGATGTCATCGAGCAATTTAACACATCCCTGGACATCGTTGGAAACCACCGTGAACGTATCGGACGAGGTCTGCAATGCGCGTGCCCGCCTCTCCATAGCATCAATGGAGGCTTTTTCACGCATCAGATTCTCGGATAGTTCAGCCAGTGAGGACTGGAGAGTAGCCGGAGACTCGAGCACATAAGGCCGTAGTTTCTCCGCTTCTTGTCGAGAACGCACGGTTCGTTCGGTCTTCTCTTCCAACTGCTGCTGCCGCCGAGCTCTTTCAGTCTTAACTCGATCGAGTGTCTCTGCGACTCGCGACTGCTCCCGGCCTAGTTCCAATAGCCGCGCCTTGAGCGCATCGTTTCGGGAAACCTTCTCCCTCACATGCGCTTCGTTGGATTGGAGATCCTGTCGCATCTCCCTCAGTCTTAATTCCATTTCCTGATTTTCCGCAAGAAGTTCGTCAATGCGGGATTTCGTTTTCTCCGTCTTATTGAAGTGCTCGTCAATCACAGGTGTTTGCGATTCCCGGAATCGAACGAAGTTGATCAAGTACGAGAAGATTTTGACGAGTCGCTCGTGCGTCGGTTTGGTCAGGTCTGTGAAGGTGAAATCGTTGACACCGCACTATTCGGTATCAAAACATTAGTATATTCTTCAGGGTTTTTTGTGGTCATTGATGAGCAAATACCTCCGCCAATAGCTTTCGGAGCATCATGAAGAAACCCATGAGGTTGCGGGTGTCATTGGGAACTATATCAGGGTAGTCGCCGCATATATCTTCTGCAGCTGCATGCATCGCGGGCTCCACTGTCTCCCGGGTCGTGTTCATGAGCAGTTCTGCGAACCATTCGAACACCATCTGGATTTGCTGGGCGTTTGGTTTAGCCAAGTCGGCGAGGGTGAACGGTATACCGATATCGTTGATACATCCTGCAATCTCTTTGTCGGGCTATTTTGTATTAGTACCGGATGCAAGCTCGAGCAGAAATCAAGCTCACCAGACGCATGAGGGCGTCATTCTCGTCCTCCTTCTTGCGACCTCGACCGTGGTGCTGGTTTCCTTGAAATTGCTGGCTCATACGGCTGTTATACCCCATCGCAGTAGAGTTGCGCGACATGATATTATGGGAACCTGTCACCAGGCAAGGGGCTTATTGACAAAGTGGGTAGGCTAATTGTTGTTGATCGGAGTTGATTGTTTACTTGGAGACAATCCCGCACACCGCCCGATCGGGGTTAGTGCCTGGAGGGGCATTATGCAAACCAGACAAACATAGAATTCATGACTCTTTCTCTTCCTTCTATATTGCTTTGTTCTCACTTTCGTATCTTCGACACTCAAACAGCATGGCTTCTACCACCTCAAATGCGGCTGTGGCCGATGCCAAACCATTTGAGTAAGTAAATCGCGCTCCCTTGGACCCTTCGCATCTGCTCACTGTTCCTTCAGCATTGTCGCAACCTACAATGAGCTCCTCCGATCCGATGCCGACCTTACGATGCCTATCGCGGCCATTGAAGCTCTCGTCCTTCTTCTCACACAGTCAGCCTCTTCAACGATATCAGAGACCTTAGATCTACTCGAAAAATCTACCGCGCACCTGAAACGATCCATTCCCAACCCTATCGGTCTCTCTGCCGGAACCGATCTTTTCCAACGATACTTGATTACCACACTACAACGCCCTGGACAACTGGGCCCCGCAGGAGATTTCAAGGCTATCCGCACACATCTCTTGTCAAACGGACGGCTGTTTATCCGTCGCGCTAAGGAAAGCCGAGACAAAATCGCAGCATTCGGGCGTGGCTTCATTCGCGATGGCAGCACCATCCTCACAAACGGTGGCTCCCGAGCTGTCGCAGCACTATTGCAAAAAGCCGCAGATGAGGAAGGTGGCCCTTCGGCTGTGCGGTTCCGCGTTATCTATGTTCTGTCCTCGACTTCCCGGGATTGCAAGCACCCGAATGAAGAACCGGAGGGTATGGAAACAGTCCGTGCTCTGAGAGCAAAGGGTGTGCCAGTCTCAACAATTCCCGAGTCCGCGGTGGCATATTCTCTCGGCAAGGCTGATATGGTTATTGTGGGTGCGGAGGGTGTTGTGGAGAATGGAGGTATTGTGTCTCGCATGGGAACCTACCAGATCGGTCTCCTTGCCAAGGCTATTGGCAAGCCATTCTACGTGGTAGCAGAGAGTCACAAGTTCGTTCGCTTGTACCCTCTTGGTCAATACGACCTGCCAATTGAGCAGCAAGTTCTTGAGTTCAAGTCCGAGGAAGACCTTGCAGAGGAGCGCAAGCAGCAGTCCTCCGCCGCTGACACAAATGGAGACACTTCAATCAAGCTACCACTCTGCGACTCTGTTGATTTCACTCCCCCTCACCTGATCTCCGCACTTATCACAGATAGCGGTGTCTTGACTCCCAGTGCTGTCAGTGAGGAATTGATCAAAATCTGGTTCTGAAGAGAACACATGTCATAGCAGCCTTTTCTGCTGTAGATTTCCCAACTTCTCAAAAAGTTTTATCAAGATGATATGGCGGGGATGAATTTAATGTGACACATGCATTTCATACGGCCCTACCATGTGGAAGAATCATCTCCAGCGAACAAGACGAGATTGCCCCTCTTCACACATCCAAATCTAATGTGGATATCTATCACATTATCTCCATTATGCAGCACAAACACAAGTTGCAGGGACATGGGAAAACCACACCCCTTCTTATTCCTGCCATCGAACACCTCGATATGGATGGACATGGACATGGAATGGTTTTTAATTTGGGGATCTTTTCTTGACAAGAGGGAGGCTTGATTGAACGCAAAAAGTAATAAAAAATGTGAATCTCAAGTCTTTTAAACAAAGTACAGAATTGTAGTCTGGTCTCCCATGGTATCAAACGCCTTCCATCAAAGTCATGCAGTCATCATCATCAGTAATCGTCAAAGCCTCTAGTTGCAGCCCCTTTGCAGTTTTATATGCTGAACATCATCATGTATGGAACCCCCCCCCCGGAACCCCACCACCCCAACATAGAAGGGTTTACCCTGTACATAGATAGGTTATTTGTCCAAGGCCCCTGGGCCTTGAGGTACCCAGCAATCATATCTCTTCACCTCTTCATTTTATCAAAAGTATAAGTCGTAAAAACCTCGTGCATCATAAATCATGATCGGGTATTCAAGCCTCAACCGCACAATGTCAATCCGCAGCCGAGCATGAAACGAATTGTTTGATCACAAGGCAACAATTGAACCGAGGCAGCGCAGCCCATTTGTCTCCCTTGCCAATTACATCATGGCAAAAGCTCAATTGGCAATGCGGTTGATGACAACACACCATTCCTGCGTTTGCATCACAGCAAACGCATACAACAGCAAGTAACCAAGAGCGACGAATATCCACAAGGCTACCATGTTTGAAGGACTCCAATCAGAAAGTCGGTGAAGACGAGTAGGACGTTTATGTGTGATGGAAAAGGAGTCCAGGCTGTCAGGCGACCACAATGGGGTCAAGTAAATGATGCCAGCGTTTTGCTAGTGGAGGTATTGTCTGCGGTGTAGATGGTTTAAGGAGGTAAGGAGGTTTGAAATCAGGTCAGGCTCTCTGTTAAATCACATAGGAAATGGAAAGATAAGAAAGACTCTTCATTCAATGAGATCTCATGCTCTCTAGACATTCTTAACACAGCTAGACCGACACTTGACAAAACAGATTCTAGACTTCTTCTTTTTTTTTTAAAAAAAAAAAAAAATACTAATACTCACACAATCACACACACACACACACTCCCGGGTCCTTCCATCCAATACGAGTACGAGATTAAAAACCCTTGTCGGAGAATAATGGGACGCAGATGAGGGGTTCTTGAGAGAAGATTATTTTGTACTTCACACGGTCTTTGTCTCGATATTGCGGGTTATGAAATAATAATTCTAGGTTTCTGTGTGTGACACGCTGAGGATTTCCTGTTCGAGTCATAGATCGCCAGCTCCATCACGGATGTTGGGTATGAAGACAGGAGGAATTCACAAACCGAGCATATTCCGCCAATTAGGATCTGGGGTATGATCTGTTTAAAGTTATTTGAAGATTTTATCAGTCCTATTAGTTATTCACCTTGCATTTCCCAAGTACATCATGCATTATTCTACCATGTTGTAGTTCGGTGCATATCAAGCAAGTGATATAGAACTGCGCATAAAACATATCACGCGGGCCTAAATGCATGTTTAATGAACTTTACTCAACTTGAATACGAAGGTATTGACATCGAGGAACCTTGAACCTTGTCACAATACAATGTTCATTATAACGGTTCTCTCGATCCGTTCTTCATTATATATCGTCGCCGATAGGTAAGGCTGTATATTTCGATCAAGGCCATAAATCTTGAAACAGAAATGGATCACCATCAAACTCCGCATCACCATTGTGTCACTTGACACCGAGCAAAAATAAGGTCTAAGCCGCCTTGATCGCCTCGAACGCCTGGAACAACCGGAACCTTCAAGTGGCCACATGAGGGCGCAGCTGTATGTTCACCGAACGCCCTGAACCCTGAATGCCCTACTCCGTAAATGAAAGAGAATACCAAGTCACTTGTCTACCTCACTTGTCTACAACATACGTAGAAATCAAAGATCAACGAAAGTATCTCGTCATGCCCCACAAGATCCAACCCCGCTCTCTGGTCCCTAACCAAACCAGCAACCTCACCTCCGACCTAAAGCAGAGAGAATGAAACGCCAAAAGCAACCTTGCCTCAAACAAACTATACCTGCATTCACCTGTGAAATCGCAACTGTCGTCCGACAGCCACCAGCCACCCCCGCTCCTCACCTCAACGCCCTACCACCCACGTCACCTACTTTGACAACGTGCTCAAACAACAAAACTCATGGATGCCCAATCCCCAACGACCGACTCCCAGCCTGACCAGAAGCTCCACCTGCGATCCGAAATCCAGGGTTCCGGTCCGCGGTCTACATCCGATGTCCACTGCCACAGTGGCTGGTCTATCAGGCGCCTTCTGAGCCGACGTGGGAGCCGCAAATACAGCGTCCTGGAGCGGGAGCCGAATCGACTGAGGAAGCGCATGAGCAACTAAGTTTCTTACACGGCTGAAGGAAGGACCATGTCAGTTGGCGGTGATGATGATACTTGCACCGGTCCACGCGGATCTGGTTAGTGTCGGGGGGATCGCGGGAATATCTATTCTTGAGTCACACATTTGTTGTCCAAGGGTTGGATATCTCATCGAATTTCGCCGTTTTATCTCTCACCGTGGTCGCATGGGATGCGGGTCTGCATGTTGTATTTTTCGGCGTTTGGTTAGAATTGGCGGGTAGGCGCATTTTTTTGGGAGGGTTCTGTCTCAACTATCTTTTTTTGTTGGTTTGATCCAATTGGGGTTCTGTGTACTCTGGAAAGTGTAAGTCATTGGTTGTGATCTGAGTTGCCCTGGCTGATTTTGGTACGTTGCGGTGGCGGTTGCCTTCGTGGCGAATTCTCAATGGCTTGCTATGATCCTTCCAGGGTCTACAAATAGGTATTGACCCGTGAATGGGAATTATGATGTCATGTTAAATTGAGAGTGCAATGTATAGAAACCTCTATACTGTACGAAGTAGAAAGTTTCGATATTGAAATACTGAAGAATGAGATCGGGAATACGATCGGGCCATCGAACATTCTCAATGCTTATGAGCTCACAAAGTGTGTTTTCATGAAAATCAAAAATAAAATACAGGAATTTGATGGTGGCTGTCTGCTCCTTGCAGATTTAGTGGCTCAAAAACCCCGCCAAACCCGATTTTAGACATTGTCTCTGAGCTGTTCTTGGCATCTAAGACCGAACAGCGTTCTTCGTTGTTAGATCAGAGATAACTGAGGTCGACCGTTGCGATCAAAATGCAGGAACCACGGTGGAACAATCTGAGACTGGAAGTGGAGTGGTATTGATGTTGTAAAGCCACGTTATTGTAAACGTCAATGATTTGTGGAGAGGGACGGAGTACCTGTACAAGGGAGATAAGGTGGAAACGATAGGGAATACAGTACTCCGTACGGAGGATAGTAACATTGAATATAGGATCTGTAATAGAGGCAAGGAGGGGCTCTAGACAACACCCTGGATCTAATCTGAACCACCTTGAATCAAAATCAAATAATAGCGCTGACACCTTGCAACCCGCTGGATTCCTAATGGATATAATTAGCATCATGCTCTGTATGTCGTACTGGTTTGCTAGACGCCTTAATATGAATGATATTGAATAGAACCAAGGCAGAAAGGGCAAGATAAGACATACTATCAAATATACAATAGGCATCAGAATGGGAATTAGTGGTAATAAATTGTAATCCTATACTTCGCACTCTGTAGAGGGGAACTAAGACATCCCCCCCCCATGAACGAAATTCGCCGATCATTTCTCTATTCAAATATGGGCACGATACATTTCCCCTTACAATACTATTGATTTACATACCGTTCCTGTCCCTGCAGGTTCCTCTAACTAGTTTGAAAAGTACAGGAACCTTCCCCAAAATCGACGATCCTATAGGTGCAAATTGGTAATAGTGCATACCTAGGTAAGATCGACTTCCCGCGTGTCAACCCAACGAAAGGGCTACCACGGACACAGGGCTCCACCGGGCGTTTAAACGGTGGCTTGGCTTTCCCGCGTGAGAGGGCACGAGGGTCTGCATTGGAGGTTGTACAGGGTTAAAGGTCAATATTACTCATTTCCGAGAGGTATTGAATATATATACATATTCTACATTATACATCCAATATTATGGAGGATTCAATCATATACCGAAGGGATGTATATTTATAGTGTTGATGATATTTATAATATTTATAAACAGTGCGTCATTCTGGAGTCCACCCTAAGTGGATCTCTCTCTTCCCCCACAGGTCAACTGCCAATTTCCAAAAATCTAGACTCTCTGTGTGACGAGAGACTTTTGAAGAGTTTACAAACTTAGGGTCAAGGTACCAGGTACCCGTGCAACTGTAAACAATTACTTTAGATATAGGTGGAATATAATATATAATTATAATACATAATATAATACAATAGGATAGAATAGAAGAAACAAAAAAAAAAAGTAAATGCCAAGTTTTTCTATTTTTCAGGCAAAAAAAAAAAAAAAAAAAAAAAGGTCCATTTCTTCTTGATTTCCTTTTGGGCTTTCCTATTTTCTTTTTTTCTGCCTTTTCAATTTTCACTTCCTTTCTCTTTCCTCTTCCTCTTTCTCTCTCCCTTTCTCTCTCTCCCTTTCTCTTTCCCTCTGATAGAACTTTACCTTTTCAACTTCCTTCCTCTATCACTGTCCATGACACCTGTGTCATCACCCTGACTCCCAGTCACTTCATTCAACTATCCTTTCCACCCTCCATGGGTCCAGTCAAACTGTCACCACATCGACCTGATACCGATAACTGATCCTACTTGTCCCTGGGCTTGTGCCCCCAAAGTGCCATGGCGATATGGCCCTTTAGTCGCAAGAGCAAGCGGCACACCATCCAAGTGACCGGTGCCGAAGCTGCCGACCTTCACTCCTCGTTTGTCGAGCCTACCATGGAACCCACATTAGGTCGCAAACAATCCAAACGCCAAACCAACCGCACGTCACGAGCGGATGCTGCAGACAGCCGGCGCAGCTCAGCCCTCGTGCCTTCAAATCGACCTATCTCATCACTAGACCGCCTTGCCGATCATCCACGGGACCCTCCGCCACGTGACCATACACTCTCCAGAACAGGTTCGCTGTTGAGGCGGAAACCAAGCCAAAATGCACATGTCCCGAATAAATTACGACGCAAGCTGAGCAAGCGCAAGGCAAACGAGATCATGCGCGAGCGTGAGATCCGTATGCTCTCGTCCACTCCCATCGATATCCCCCATCGACCGACTGATTATGTACTGGAAACTCGCCGCCGAAAGGCAAATGGTAGGCGTGCCGACCGGTATATGTCTGACATCAGCCTCTCCATCCGTGACTCCGCCACCTCCTCCACGTCTGACATCTCCGACCCATACACCTACAAGGTGAACGCTTTTGCTGCCTTGACCCCACGCCCCGTCGTTCGTTACGTCGAAGCCCCTCGCCTGCAGACCGCCAGAAGTAATAACCCGCCCGCTTCTAGCCGGCAAGAGAGAGAGAGGCTCCAGGCTATGACCATGTCTGAGGAAGATTTCTACTATTCTAAGCGACGAGTGAATGAGCTCGCTGATTCTTTAGATGCCGGGGCTTTGAGAGAGCTGTTGGATCGCGACCGTCGCCGCCGGGAGAAGAAGCAGGTCGACGACCAGGAAAGGTTGCGGCGTAAGCTGCAGGAGAGGGCTGATGCTCAGCAGGCGGAGGAACAAAAACTCCAGGCCGCCACCCACGCCGAGCCCCAACCCGAACCCGAAATCGCCCAACCAGAACCGTCCGTCGCTGAAGTTGCCGAACCTGAGGACGTTGTCCTGAGCGACGAGACCATCGTTCCTCATGTTGAAGAACCGACGGCTGTCGCACCGGAGAATGAATCGTGGCCGCCGCTAGCTTCCAAGGGTAGTGAGAACACTGGACGCGAATCCAGGGAAAGCTCTCGCGTAGTTGGAACCATCGATGATAGTTCCGTTCGTGAGCGAAGATTGGTTCAACGTCCTAGCTTCGCCCCATCAAATGATATTACCATGTCCCGGACTACCCTTTCTCCGTCTCATTCGTCACTTCGACATGGGCGAAATAGCCCAAGCCAGTCACAAATCTGTGCGCCTAGCTCCGCATCGGACATCTCTAGAGGGGTTGACTCAGAACGCCGACTTTCCGACACCAGTGGTCGTCGGGGGAATACTATCACCTCTCTGTTCCGGCGTGGTTCTTCTCGTCTCAAGCGGACATATAAAGAGCGATTCCACGACACCACCCCCGAAGTTTCCAACGCATCGCATGAATCGTTCTACAAAATTCAGACCCAGTCATCACCTCCCCCGCCCTCAATCATCCCTCCGAGAATTCCAATGCCCACGGGAACCGTGAAGCGCTCTCAATCCAAGTTCACTGAACACTTTGGCGACGAACCCCTGTCGCCTCCTGATTCCCGCTTACAGTCGCCAGATATCCCGGAGGAAGTTCTGGAGTCCTCTCTCGAAAGGGATGAGACTTTCTTGCACGAACCAACACCTAGCCCCGGCATGGACATCAAAAACCCGAACCGAAGCCATCATCGGTCATGGGCTTCAGATAGTATGGACATTGATGCCGATAACGTACCACTTTCCCAATCTTTGGCTTCAATCGATTCTGAGGGATCTTGGATGTCCGGTCAGTTTTTCCGTCGGATGTCACAAAAGCCCAGCAGTCCTGTTCGATCGAATTTGAACTCATTTGGCCGAGACTCGGTGGAGTCCCCCGCAGATGCCCCCGAAGAGGTTGAATCACTTGATGAGTCCCGCCGTCTTAGTAGCAATGTTCTTGGTGAGCCGGAGCTCGAACCGGAAGCCACAGACAGCTCGGCAAGCAACCCCGCTGAAAGATGGCATAACGAGGTCGGTCGCCGTGCTGTTCTGGTGAACCCGGTGGTCCGTCCCAAGTCTACACAAGGGTTGCTTAGAGGATTCCCTTCTTTGACCCCCATCTCCGCAGAAGAGGATTACATCATGGAGGAGACAACTCCGGAACTGCGGCGGATCCCCAGCGCGAAAGCCGAGATTGGTTATGCCGAATAGACTGGGTATTAGTGGTCACCATCTCCATTTAACACCAGTCAAACTGGATCTACCATTACCTCATTTATTTGGGTGTCATGGCATGGCAAACGGGTACTACTGGCCCATCGATCATCGCCAGGACTAAGACGCAATTTCCCACTGAGGTCCCTTGAACCTTTCCTTTGTCACTTTCTTTTGTCACTTTCCTTTGTCAAAATATCCCCCATGAGCCTTGGGTTTATCCTCTGGCCACCTGTACGATTCTGATAACCCCCGTCGCCCTGCATCGCCCTGTATCCCATTATTCCCCTTGCGAGCTCGTCGTTCCCCTTCGATCTGTTGATACCCCCTCGTCGCCCTATGTTTTTACCTTTACCATATGCATAAATTCTATTCCTTCTTATCCCTGTTGTTGAATACATAACCAAGTTGATAAATTCTTATTCCCCTTCGAGCGCTTTTCTTCCTTGCACATAGTTGACTTCTGGCCCTTTTGATCTACCTTCTATTGCTGGTATCGATAAGATGTATTCCTTTGGGAATTTACTGATTTCAATTTCTAATCAAGCGGGGTTTATCTTACATTGAGATCTAGTCATGATGATATTTTTGAGGTTTTCATGGATTGAATGTATTTAGTAAAGTCCAGCAGCCATTGCTGGCATCCCGTCTGACCAGGGGGTGATTTTTGTATTTCTAATATCCCGGTTTACAATTTGAAGTGTTAAACTTTCCTGCTCCTACTTGGGAAGTTGGTCTATCAATTACTGTCAGTATAAGAGAGTCTGCGGACATTCGATCCATTATGTATACTTATACGACGTATCTATATCTAAGCTCGTTCTGTAGAGCGGAGGACATGGACGGCATTTATAAAGGCACAGTCCGACAGTATCCCAGCTCGACGAAAACAATCGGGATATTTCTCATCCTGGAGACTGATGGTGTTGACAGCTGCAAGCATATTGACAGTTTAATTAGGACACAGAAGGATAATCCACCGTTTCTAAAACTTTTGACGACGATACCCGTGAACAATTGACCTCTATGATAGTTGATGACGCAGCCACAAGATCGCTACCTATGTATATAGATCCAAATGCAATAACTCCTCTCCTCTTGTATTTGTCCTCCACTGCTGATAACGCGCTTAGGCTAGTAACATATGCGACCTCTCAGAGAATTAGACTGTTATTTCACTGAGCAAAAGAAGAATCTATTTAGTCGTTAGTCCGGCTGGATTTATTCCATTACATTCATGCAATGAATAGACACTACTATACCTTCTCAATGTATTTAACCCCAATCTGGATGCCGTCACCATCCTCAAACTCGCTCTCATCGCCAAAATCTCCGTTCGTTTCATCCATGCAGGTTAGACAATTAACAACGACCTGCGTGTACATATCTCCCATCCTGATCGGTAGCTGTTCCTTCGCTAACGTCATAAAGTGATCCTTAAGGGAACTGTGTCTATTGAAGGCCGAAGGATCACAGTTGACACCAGCTAGCGAGATATTTGCGTCTCCTTCGCTACTCACGAGTGAATCCCAAAGTCCAATCTCGAGGAGGCATACTCCGAGGCTGTATATATCATGCTGCATGACATAGTCTACCCCAGGATTGCTCCCTTGTCGATCAGGATGTTGGTAAATGTTTTCAGACCGAATAAAGTTGCCCTATCGTAATGTTTTGTTGTCAGCCAAGCGAAATGCTCTGAATCCTAATAGGTATAATGGACCTAGATGAGATCCAACGCCTTCGAAAATCAAAATAGTCTCTGGGCGAATATTCTTGTGCACAAATTCCAGGACATGGATATAGCTGATAGACGTGGCAAGCTGCTTAGCAAGACTAATTCTATCACTGAGAGAATGGGTCGCTCAGGAGAGAAGGTGGCTTCGAAGGCTCTGGGGTTTCTGACGTCCTTTAGGGAAGTTGAAGATGAAGTCGAATGAGAGGAGCTGCTTAGTGTTTGGGTCCGTTATACGAGCTACACCATGGCACCCGAGGAGATGAAATCCATTCGCATCGACCTGTTGAAATCTCATAGCTAGGCTCCGGACATTCTTTGAGAATGTGGCATCGTCTTTTCTAGACGAACAGTCCGCAGAATCCAAGATAAACGTACCGACGCCCGCGATCTCGACAACTTCTGATGTTGAATATAGAATGTCAGAACGTCTAGCAGACTGAAGCTTGCTTCCGGAAAGGAAAACTGCAGTTTCTCGTTGTGGCTCTGGCCGTAGCGCACTCCGTACATGTCTAGCAGTAGATAGCGTCTCAGTTCCTGTGCGCTTGACCAACGCTGTGTCAATAGCCTCATCGGCTATTAGCAGAACCAAGTACCACGTCGTATCGAACTCATTTTGCCACACTCGAAGATCCTGTATTGCCCTATCGAGCGATTCCTTTTTCAACAAAGCATATTTCGCTGCCTTTGACTTGTCTAGCAACCGACCCCCGCTCTTAGCGGCCTGATTGTCAAGTTTGCTGAGCTCTCTCACGGCAGCCTCTAGTTTTTTTTCTCGAAATGACGAAGCATGCGGCTCTGGAGGTCCCGGTAGTTCTCGCCCAGTCTATCCCACACACCACGTAAGAAGGCTAATTGTTCTGATGTTTTGGCCCAAGCAGCGTCGATAGCAAGTTTTCGCTCTTCAACCTCTTCATTGGCGTGTTTGAAATCCTTGTATACGGTCACAATGACCTTTCCGTATCTGAAAGATATTAGCTCGGGGCGATGCGCAGTAGCCTGTATATATAGCCACGTACTTTAGACATAAATCAATGACACCGGGCAAAGCAAGCCCAATCTCTAAGCCGCTCATGGTACACTAATGGGGTATGCTCTTTGATCTTTAGTATTCGATGAAGCTTATAAAGCTAATGATTTCTTTTGAGGGATATAGCGCTCTTGCTTAGCCGCACTTGGTTGAGACGTCGAGGATCACATGATACAGAGAGCCAAGTGCCCTATTCATGCAGCTACTATAGCCGCGTGATTATCCATCAATACAACATAGGCACTGCTTGCCAAATGTACTTTGCTGTCGTGTGTCCCGGATGCAGGCTAACAATGGGATCTCATATCTCCACCTATAAATAACACTGTCCGCAACTCTTTATATTACATTCTCACCTCCCAGGATTTGCTGATCATTGACTAAAAGCTCATTCTGGCGCCCTGAATTAATGTATGTGCTCTCGTCTAACATAGGACTTCTCTCCATTTCATCATGCATACCTTTTGTTGAGCAAAGAAGAGAAAAGAAGAAGATGGGCAAGATCAGATGAATTGCAGGTCTGGAAAGCTATAGAAAATTTGGGAAGGGGGAGATTGCCAGTCATCTCTTCTATCCACCCCTCAAGAATAAGAGTAACATATTGCTGGCAGACCAGAGCTCAACACTTTCAAGTTGCCAACTAAGCTAGGGTCGTCCAAGAGGGGCAGTCAAGGAAGTATGGAGTGTCATTCAAGTATTTGATATCCCGTATTTCCAATCCGCGACATGGCTTCCAAAGGGAAATGAATTGAACCATTCAATACAGCATGTCATTCGATGAAACGAGCGGAGGGGATTGTATTTTTCACCGCGGATGATAGTTGGCGCGTTGGAAGAGGAGAACTCTTCATTGCGGACCAGATGACGCTGCATTATCTATCTCAAGAATGAACTCAGGCTTTCTCGTAGACCGCGCTTGGGCTCGCGTGCCGTTTTGGTAAATGGGAAACGAAGAACATCGTGTAGGTAATCCAGAGATTCCAGTGTATCTTCGTCGTTTGCACCAAGGGTTTCACTACGCCCTTTCTAGGTCTTTCGAAATACAACCTCAGCCTCGGCGTACTTTCCCTGGGAATTAAGAATTAGGCCGAGGGCGTGAAGAGACCTGAGGGTTTCCGGGTGGCTTGCTCCAAACCTTTCCCAGTAACCCTTGACTGCTGGCTGTCACAAGAGTACCACCCTGAGAAACTCTTCTCATATACGGGTGTTTGGCAGCGTCAAATCACCGCCTAATAAAGGTGGACAACCCCGTAGTATCACCGCAGTCATACCAGAATCCTCTCTCGCGCTTCATTCGTTTCGTAAATCGCCTGCACTAGCAAATGGGTCATTTTATCTCCGTCAGGAAGAATTGATTCCTTGCGAACTAGTACAATGCCAAGATCTGCAGTCCACGTCGAGTACGAGCTCATGCAGTGCAATAGCACCCAATTTGAGTCAACCCAAACAGCTATTATTGTACCCCCCTCGATTAGATATCAAGCAACCCCCCCTTTTACCTATATTCTCTATCCTCCATTGCTCGCTCCTCCGAGACCCTAACTTCAAAATTCAACACAATCCTATCGAACATCACACAATGGTCCGTTTCTCTATCTCGCACCAACCTCTAACATACACGCTTTGTTTCTCGGCCCGTACCCGAAACCACGCTAGTTCCCATTGGGTTACTTTGTAAACAACCCCTATTTAGCCGTATCGGGTCTGGCAACGTACTACAATATAGACTTCAGCGATTAACGAATCATTGTGAAATACTGTAAATATCCACAGAATGTTCTGGCAGTTTGGGGAGAGATCTGGCGAAATGGCTTGATCTACCCGCGCTGGAGTCCCTTTCTCCGGCGCAACCCACAAAACAAATAAATATTCCTCACTTAAGAATGCACGCACAGAGTTTCTAAAGCCATTTTTCAAGCATTATTTCCCCTCCCTTTCCATGATTCATGCATGAAGGAGCCAACATTCCGACGGCCCTCGAATTCCTAAAATGTCTCTCCTCCATTTGCCAACAGAATTACTCCTATTATTAGTGACATTTCTAGAGGCAGAAAGAGATATTAACTCATTAGCTCAAACCAACAAACAATTCTACGACATCCTAAATCTCGACTTATATCGAAGAAATTCTCAGAATTCCGATTCTTCGGCACTGCTATGGGCTGCTCGACATGGAAAAATTGCTACAGCCCGAAGGTCTATCCAGGCCGGGGCAAACATAATGGCGAAAGATTTGCCTCAGCAGACAGCAGGACGCCGAGGCGAATCTCGGGGGACAGCGTTATCCCGTGCCGCAGAATATGGACATGAGGCGATGGTGAAGCTGTTGATTGAAACTGGGCAGGTAGATTTGGAGTCAAGGGACGATTTCAGCTACACACCATTCGCCCACGCCGCAAAGGGTGGGCATGAGGCGGTGGTGAAACTGTTACTTGAAACTGGGCAGGTCGATTTGGAGTCAAGGGACGATTTCAACTGCACACCATTCGACCACGCTGCAAGTGGTGGGCATGAGGCGGTGGTGAAACTGTTACTTGAAACTGGGCAGGTCGATTTGGAGTCAAGGGACAACTTCGATTCCACACCACTATCCGGTGCCGCAGGAGGTGGACATGAGGCGGTGGTGAAACTGCTACTTGACACTGGGAGGGTGGATCTAGAGTCAAGGGACGAGCAAGGTTACACACCATTCATCCGCGCTGCAGGAAGTGGGAATGAGGCTGTCGTGAAACTATTACTCAAGACTGGACAGGTGGATGTGAACGTGACTAGCTACTACGGATACACGCCATTGACTGAGGCTGCAGAGAATGGAAACGAGGCGGTGGTGAAGCTCTTGCTTGAGACGGGCCAGGTGAATGTAAACAAAAAAAGTTTGAGCGGGACAGCATTATCCCTTGCCCTAAAGTCGGGGCATGAGGCGATAGCGAAGCTGATACTTGAAACTGGGCAGGTAGATTATGACGAACACGGTGGCTAGTTCCCTGATAGCACTTACCACCGTTGACAAAAATCCTGTCAGTGTGGAGCACACGATTAGGTTATATTACAAGTAATAACTAAGACAAACGAGTTCGTGCTAATTAATTTGCTAATCATCTATAATAAAATCTAGAGGGGCTAGAAATATCCGTTTTCTTAGTCCTACCACCCACCTATTACTTTTGATAACCTGTCCAAGTCTATAAATATGTGACGCTCTATAAAGATGTCGGAATTGTAAAGAAGCCCGAGAATAGAAAGGCCATGTTTCGGGAGGAAGCTGATTTCGCTAGCAACTGATATATATAGTAGCGCACATAGTTTATCCGTGACGGCGAAATAGAGGCTATTTAAAAAGAGTATAAAAATAAAGGAATTCAGGCTATTAGAAGGCTTAAAATTAAAGGAAGTAATGGCTCTTAAAGCTAGGGAAATATAGGCTTTAAAAACTAGGGGGTATATCGAATACTAAGTCCGAATATATAGTAGAAACCAGGTATTATACCCGGAAAACATATGACATTAGGTACCAAGCATCCATACAAAAGTATATATTACAGTTAGTTATCGATGTCCGCACAGATTGTGGAATAGCGGATTTTGTCATTTTAGTGAGAGTTCTCAACATCGGGCATCCATACCATACATCGTTCGTACTCTAGCTTTCTGTCCAAAGTCCGCTTCTGGCCGTCTTAGCATATATAGAGATCTGAGGGTGTGGGAATGTTTCTCTCCAAGAGCTCGGCTTTGTCTCACCCATATGTTTCGATACATAGCTTCGGCTTCAGTGTACTTTCCTGGCCAACAAGAGCATCGCCCAATAAACTAAGAGAAGCTAGTGTGTCTTCGTGATGGGTACCCAAAGCATGTTTGGAGCATTTTATGAGCGTCTACATGCTGCTTTTGGCTCAGTGGTGACAGCTCTTTGTTATGAGCCGTATGCGATTCACCTAATATATCGGGGATTGGAGCCTGTTTCGCAGATTTGGACTTCTGTAGGCCTGTCGCTTTGCTCTTTGGTCCATAGGTGGCCCTAGTTGTGTGGTCGTCAACTTTTATGGAGGAAACTTCTCCGTCACCCCAGCCTCTTGAAGCTTCGTGAATAGTTTCTATCGGACTTGAAACCAACTGTCAGAAAGAGCTATACGCGAAATTCCTGAGACCGGGTTGAAGGATGGTTAATTCAACCATCCGTCCTGGAGGGCTTTTTAGCTGACAACCGCACTGTTACATCTGCAGCTAGAAGACATTTAAGAAATCTTTGGCCCTCCTGGGTAACAGACCGAAGTGTGTGGTAGGGCGGGAAGTTGGAAGTCCGGACATATGACGAGAGACTGTTGTCGCTTGGGAATGGATAGTCATGGCAAAGGAGATAGAACAGCATCACGCCCAGTGACCAAATATCAACGCGGAGTATGTAGAGACGCAGTTTCTGCAAGCTCATACCAGGAGGGTATAATCTAAGTAATTCGGGCGCCAGGTAAAGCGGAGTGCCCACTTTCGATTGCAAGGCGGCCCTCGTACCGTTTGCTGACGCCGAAATCGCCAATTTTAACGTGCCAATTAGGCCCCTCATTCACGACCAAGACGTCTTATATAGCCAGTTAATTTGCGTCCTAATCTGACCCAGTCAGTCCTACGAAACATACCCCGGGTTTGAGATCTCGATGGACAAATTGATTGTCTTGCAGGCATTGAATACCCCGTAGAAGTTGGGGCACAGATTTGCCGTGCTTCGTTTTCCGGTAATGGGCCTCGGAGATGGTGTTGAAGATCTCCTAACTCCGTATGTTCCATGGCAATGAAGATGAATTGCCGATCCTCGAACCACCCCAGGCATTCTACGAATAACCCTGAATACTAATCGATATTAACATCCATATAATGGATTGATTTGAGTATAGTACCTACTCTTGGCCGAGAAAACTTCGCCATGGCTTCAAGTTCTTGATCACAGTAGATCTGTTTGGAAGGATCCGATGACTACTTGATCATCTTCACAGCTCGCACCCTAGCCGGACCTTCACTTGATACGCATTTTTCACTCCAGACGGTCCCGAATGTCCCTGCACCAAGTATCTTCCCCCTCTTCCAGACTTCGACCTTCGGCCGCAATCTGCCAGTGGTTCCTTGGGCGTAGTCGGGTTGAAAGGTAGGGTGTGAGGTGCCGTCGGGGTGAACCTCGGCGTCCAGTCTCATATCATTCACGAGTTCTGTTCTTGCCATGGTTAGACCAAAGCCCGGCCGGGATTGAAGTTTCACCCGTGGACTGTTATCGAAAACAAAGACAACGCCCCCTCTCGCTCAGCCGCACCAGCCTGACTCGTGTAAAGTCACGTGGGACAATCCCATGGCATAAGAAGTAGAGAGCGGAGAATGCATAAATGCACCTAGTCGCCTGATAATCCACCAATAGGCACTGTTTGCCTAGCATAGTTCGCTGTGTCAAGCGCCCGACTCATCGAGTACACCGAAGTCGCGGGTAGATATAGACGGAACGAAGGCGTTGGCTGTGCTTTGATGTTGTCATTGGCAGACAGGGTGTTATAGTAGTAAATTTAGTCCTTCCGCTCTATGGTGGGTATGGTGTGGAGACCAAAGATACAGGCGCGACGCCCTTAGGAACGATAGAAAACCCGAGGGGTGTCTTATTGCTGCACTAGGCGGAGATTGGGCATGGGTGGAAGTAGGGGGTGCGTGGCATGAGAATCAGCAAAGCGACAGCCTAGAAGGGCCTCACTTGCGCCCATTTCTGGGAAGCCAATTTGCCGTCTGCTACCTTATACAAGTAAAATATCAAGGCATAGTGAGGATCTCTCCGTTCTTTTTAGGTCCTAGTTAGCCCGTTCTAGGTTTATATATAATCGCGCTCTAACTCTTTTCTTAGCGTAATTGTACAACATAGTAAGCAAAACTCACCTCCAGCTAACAAACAACCTGACGAGGTTTGCGGGAGAAGTACCTACTACATATTTTATGTAGTATATAGTTAGTATGTTGTATGTTGTATGTAGTGTGCCCACCAGGGAAATGCTGACAGTTCCAGACTCCATCTTATTCGTAAGCGACCCGAGGTCGAGAGCACGTCATCCCCTGTCAGCTTCACCTCTCTTGGATCTCCAGCGACATTTGATATCAACCGGATGCGAAAGAATACGGAAAGTACTGACAAATCTCAACATGGTAAGTCTCCATTGAAATCTTCCCAGCCTTGGAAAAATCCCAATCGAACGCCCAGCAAGCTCCAGAGACTTCCGGACCTCCAGGACCGGGACCAGCTCCGATCCATTATTCAGCCCGTCTTACCTAATCGCCTCTGCTGGGAACGTCATGGCCTTATAAAAACCCAGCGCCCCTCACTCTACCCCTCCAATTGAAATACTTATATCCACTCCAGTTCAAGCCTTCATCTCTTCGTTCTACTCCTAGAACCATCTCCGGAATTTCATCGCTACTCAACCGATCGACTTCCATCCAGCGTAACGCTTTCCGACCCTTTTCTTCCACACCTATCCCGCGCTTCACGCCTTCTTCTCTCAAAATGGGTGTCACTCCTATCACCTCGTAAGTCCGACTTTATTCTCATATCCCCGCTTTCGCATCTGTGTTTAGATCCTGAAAATATGTCCTACATATTTATCTTGGCCATTTCGCAAAACATTAAAGACAATAGCTAACGCTCTTCCTTTTCTAGCGCCGAGGAGTACAAGACCAAGGTCACTGAGGCCACCGGCCCCGTCGTCGTCGACTTCCACGCCGTCTGGTGCGGTCCCTGCAAGGCCATTGCCCCTACCCTCGAGAAGCTCAGCGAGGCCCACACCAACGTCCAGTTCTACAAGGTCGACGTTGATGACCTCGCCGAGGTTGCCGCTTCCAACGGTGTCTCTGCCATGCCTACCTTCCACTTCTACAACGGTGGTGAGCGCAAGCAGGAGGTCAAGGGTGCCAACCCCCCTGCCATCCAGGCTGGCCTCAAGGCTATCCTTGCATAGATTTGAAAACTGAGAGTCTTGCTTGTTCATACCATTGATCTCTGATCCTTTTTTTTCTTTGGAGGGATGGGCGATCTAAATAAATACTGAATACATACCATTCCACAACTTTTGGTGTCTTTGCGATGTAGACTCTTCGCTTGGTTTTGTCTTGTTGATGGCGTGTTTGACTTTGACTTTGCTTGGAAGTCAGGTTGGCTAATATACGTGCTGTTTCAACAGTAAAATTACGGAAGTGAAAAAAAGAGTTACCAAGGACTTTAGGGTTGAGTTGGAAAAGGAAAGTGTACATTTTGAACAAGTTCTGTGCTACGGCTTCATGCAGCCCGATCGACAGATGACGTGCAGCAATCTGCAGTGGAATTCCCCACAGTTTTCGTGAACTATGATAGAACTACTGTAGAAAAAGCATTGATGTTTAATATGCAGACCACTAGAGTCCGAGCGAAGCAGTATTGATTATCGAAATCTAATTGATTCCATATGTTGACAATATGTATTTTCAACATCGTTAAAGGGAAGTTCGAGTGAGAGAATATCGTAGATACAAGAGCGAAAATGCCAGGAGAAACTTACCCATGCCTAAGTATAACCATGACAGGGAGACAGCCATAGGCATGTTAGAAGTTTCAACTGCATGGCGGAGATGTGAAGAGCTAAGAGAAGGAGTTGTGTCTACAAGACGACAAACAATTCAATAGCTGCCTATATAAACTGAGTTGTTGTACTTTTCCATCGTCTTTCTCTCCATCTACCGTATCCATCCACATCCCCAGCCCACTTCAACGTCAAGTAATCACTCACTTCACGCATGGATACTGATTTGGAGAGTGGTATGGACGACCAAGGTAGAACGCTCGCCCCGAAGGCGTTCCGCTCCGAGAATCTGGAATTCTGTAACTACAATCCCGTAGAAGATGAGGAGGTTTTCCATTGCATTCAAAATTGTCCTTCGATCATCAACTGGTGTGCATCAACCCTACGACTGATGGACTTCAACTTCACCACCCGCATTGCCAAACACCTCCGGAGGAGATCACATTTGTTTGTGATCATCTACAGTAAAGATGAGAGCTTGTACTATACACCTATTGATACACTTTTCTTGGAGTCATCTCACCGAGAAATGGCCCATCATCGATGCTCCAAGTTGGGAATCGACATCCTAAAGAGGTACCAGCATTATGAAACGGAGGCAATCAACTGGGCTTTGAGCTGGGCGTTTAACAGTGCCGGTCTACACCGGGTGGAGATGAAGATTCCATCGTGGAATTTGCGAATGGGCAAGCTGTGTGACGAGATCGGGTTTCACACAGAGGGGGAAAGGAAAGAATGCTACTTCCAAGGATGGCGAGTGGTGGAACGAAGTGAATATGTCTATGCTGAAGAAGGACTGGAAGAAACGTCAGGCCAAGATGCAGAAGTAGCCATCGTTGGAAGTGGAGTTGATACGACGTAGGGCGCGTTCTATGGTTCAGTGACGAAGCTGTCTTGATTTTGTCTTTTTAACTTTTCTCATCAAGTAATTTCAGTCAAAGTAAGCGAGATAAAGAAGAAAGAGAGAAAGTCGAAGAGGAAGAAGTGAAACAGAACTGATCTATATCAAACCTTACACAAGCGGTTTAGCGTATGAACATCCCCGAAGCCATACTAAAACGACTAGGCACCTAACCTCACTTTTGCAACACATCTGATATATCCTATGTATGCATCATAGCCACGCGATTGACAAGTGACGGCCGTTAGTGCCTTCGGTCCATTTGCCTTAACAGAGAATGGTAGATCCCACTCACACCGAGTATATTTGGAGTACCAAGGTTGCCATTTAGAACATATCCACCACATACAAGGTGCCAAAAAAAAACCAAAAAAAACCTTCACAAGTGGGCAAAGAGGCGTCGAACCCAAGTCAAAATTGTGTCTTCATTAGCCGACGCTACAAGACTGGACTTAGAAACCAGATCGATCAGAATTTTGTTGGACAAACCTGCTTTTACTTCAGTTCCTATGATTCACCGAGAAAAAAGAGAGAAATAAGAAAAGCGCTTGGGCTACGACTTAAATCTGGGATTTAATCTATATAATCAAGGATGTGGGACCTTAAGGCCTTAGGCCCACTCTTGATCTCTTTTCCTATTTTTGCCGAGGCCACTTTTCAGTTAATTTATTTTTTAATTAATAATTGGTGCGCCATTCAATCACAACTTTCGTACAATATACCCTGCACTTGAATCCCTGTGACCCAGGGGCACATGCCGGACTCCGGAGAGCTCTTATTTAGGGCTCTCCATGGCGTTCATGTTGGTGTTCGTGTTAACAAGGTTAATGTGATTGATCAATATGTTTAACATGCATATCCGGAGGAACGCCCTACCCTGTATGTGCGGAGTATGTATAACTTAGAAGAGAGAGATCTAAAAGGACCTCAAAGTGGGCCCGTATTTTTTTTTTCTTCTCTGGGATTTGACCCGCAGCTGATGTGCAGCTGATGTGCAGCTGAATTCGCTTATTAGGTTGGTTTAAGGCTCCAGTAATTAATCTAAATGATTAAACCACACTTCTTTATATTGTCGGAGTACTCCGTACGCGCTCCGTACTCCGTATAGAGAAAAAAAATAATCTCGGAGACTCCGTACAAAAGGTACTTTTCCCTTAAACTATCCCTTATTGGACTTGTCTCGAGACTTGGAAAGTATATTCCTACATGACTAAAGTCCGATGCTCATGGGCCATTGGCGTTGTGAGAGGATTCTGATACGTCCAGGAAACCCTTCAGCCCCCATAGTTCCTTATCCGCACCGATCCGATCTAGATCTCGGCGAATTGAAGTGGGTTGAAGGCGTCGGTTACAATACCAAATCCGCGTCCAAAGGCCTTGAAGCCGTGCGACCCCTGTAGTTTATTCCGTACTATTGGATCAAATTAATTTAATTCGAACTTTTTTACGGATCGCCCTCGGCATTGACCTTTTTTCTTTTCTCTTTGTGTGTGTTTTGATAAGTATATGCCACGCGAGTTGTGGGTATGGAGGGTCACTTACAGGCCAATGCATGACCCATTTGGTAGAGTTCACGTCTAGATTGGACTAGGGCGCCATGGTACACATCAATTCATTTGTTAACGTGGAATCGGAGGATTTTGCCCTACCGTGGAGCTATAACATGCGGGGCTTGGGCTGATGTACCTTGGGCTGATGTACCCTGCTGTTATAAGATGTTTATCTCTGGCCCTGTTCCACTAATTTGGACTTTGTGATCTTTTGTATCTTTCGTTTTCGCTCTCTACACCGATACCAAACATCCATCTCTCCATGTTGTCACGTTTATATTGATTAGAACCGTCGTCTTCGACCATCGTACCCTCCAACTATACATCCTACCTTCTCGCTAATGTGCGAATAACGGAATACCAACACCTATTCCTCTCTTTCACAATGTCGACGACAGATAATGAACCGCTAGTGCGTGTCACGTACCTGGCGGGGTACATCGTCCTCTCTTATGTGATCAGTGCAATGGGATGCGCAACCACATTGGAGCTGCTCCACCGGCGGACATCGAGGTCCGGTCTATACAACTGGTATGCCCTAAGACTCTATTCTACCCACCGGCATTTAAACATGTAAACTAATCAAACAAATAACAAAAAGGTACCTTCTCCTAACTTCATCAATCACAATGGGCGGCATAGGAATTTGGTGTATGCATTTTATCGGCAATCGCGCCATCGTCCTGGGCGAGGGCGAGGCAGAGGTGCAAGCCGTGTACAATGTCGCTTTCACAGGTACCTCCTTCGTGCTGCCCGTGGTAGTACTGCTATTTGCCTTCTACGCCGTGGGCGTCGAGGAGAAGGCAGGTTATCTTCGTATCCTTCTTGGAGGATTGCTCACTGGTAGCTCTGTCTGCGGGATGCACTACGTCGGTCAACTCGGAATCTCGAACTATAGGTGCTCCTACCATGTCGCCAATGTCGTGGGCTCGGCGATCATCGCTATTTTCTCCAGTACTACTGCTTTGGGCATCTTCTTCCGCTGGAGAGCGTCTTGGACTGATAGCTGGTGGAGACGAGGAATCTGTGCTTGCTTATTGGCGGGTGCTGTCTCTGGCATGCATTGGACTGCGACTGCTGGAACGATGTATCTGGATCACAACCGCGGGGTTATGAAGGGAACTCAGTTGTCGAGGAGCCAGGTTGTTATTGTCTGTACTGTTCTGGTATGTTTGAGGTTTCTTCGATGGCATGGGGATTTTGCAGACTGACAGCTCTCTAGGCTTGTGTTGCATGTGTGGTGTTGTCAATGTGCGCTATTGTCGCTGGGCGAAATCGCAGAAAGTCGACGACACGTGCCCATCAGCTTGTTCTTGCCTGTGCCTACTTTGATCCCACTGGACGAATCATGGTTACGACGCAGGCTATGCTTCCTACAAGGAAGATTGTCGATCATTATATCGGAAGGGTATGTATTTTGCCTCCTATATTACAGCAGGAGTCTTGACTGATGAATTGCGAACTAGACATTCAAAGATGACGACCTCACCCGCACCCACCCTACGTTCCTGTGGGCGTTTAGGGCAACTCGGAACTGGCCAGTCGTAAAAGATCTGGTTCCCTTCATGCGAAACCGCCTCAATTCCGAAGAAAGTGCCATTGAGAAACACATGCTATCCCGAGGAGTGATTATGGACCAGGACACGGAGTTGCAAACTGACTTTGATACCTTGTTCAAGCAACTCTTCTGTGTTACAGCCCAAGAGCTCTCCAATCAACTTTCTCTGCCTCTCCAGGACCTAGGTACACTCTACGACGATGTTCTCTCTACTGCTATCCCCATCTCCCGAATTTCTAGAGCCCTGGGCCGCTCATCCCTCCGCACTGGCAAGGGCCAGATAATGTTCACCGTTCGCCAGCTAGAGAAGCATGAAGCAGTACGTCTAGGATCTCAAGGATACCGATTCGCAACCATCGAGCATGTCACAGGAATGCTTTCCCGACGCATTCACGTCCCCGAAGCAAACCTAACCGAGTCCCTCCGCGATATGCGCGACTACGCAAGCTCAAATCGCGGCTTCGACGAGGGAGTGCACCTCATCTCCTTCATGATGCGCCCAACAATCCACGATCACTTCGACATCCTCACCTCAAAGGGCGTCGGCAACCCCCTCCCATCCGCCACTCTCCCGATCAAGCAACTCCAAGCCCACCACTTAGAACTCATCTCCCACATGGAAGGGTGGTCCATGGACGCATGCATACGATACCTGCAATCAACCGCTGCAGCGCAAGCCTTCCCCAACCTATCCGACTTCCGTGGCCACCTCACCAAATCCATCATCTCCCTCTCGCAAACCATCCCAGAAGACATACGCGGAGCAGCGCAACTATCCTCCCGCCCATTAACAGCTCCCTGCCGCAGCAGACCCTCCAACCCCGAAACAGCCTTGCAAAACAACTGCACCCTCCTAACCTTCTGCGTCGTCGGCACACTCGACACACAAATCTCCAACCCAGACTACACCTTCACACCCTTCCGTCTCTTCCGTGTCCAGCAACAAGTAAACGAAGCCTTCAGCGACAATGATGACTTCGCCCGCGAACTGGGCCAAGAACTCTTCTGCACAGACGTGCAATCGGGCTCGAACGCAAGCGATCACGATCTCACCTCCTCAGCTAAAATGGCCATTCTGCGTCTGTGGCCGTCACGCAAGAGCTCACCGACTTTGAATTCGGGCTCCGGCTCACGACACTCTCAGGAATCGATTGTGGATCATACTGCGACTGCGTTGCGGGATATCACTGTTCGAAAGGAGGTTCGTGTTGATTTTACTCATCTTCATGAGAAGTCAAATCAGAATAATCTCGGTATCCGGGACTCAAAGGCTGTTGTTGCCGGTGGTGCTGAAACTACGCCTGCGACTTATGTCGACGAGTTGTATAGCCTTTGCTATGCGCCCAGTATTCGTTTGAGGGCTGATTCATCGTTGCGAAATATTTCGCGTGGATCGACTGCACACTGATTATTTCTTGTCTTTTCCTTTCCTTTTTTGGTTTCGTGGGTTGGTTTCTTTTCCCATTTAGGGCTGGCGCGGGGTGGAATACATCGAGGAATTGGGACTGGTGTTCATGTGTTCTGTTATGTCCATTTTCCTTATTTATTTTACGTTGGGAAGACCAAAAATGGTCCAGGATTGTATATATAACTTTTTCTGACAAGTACATAGATGATATCAATACAAATGCATGCATGTTTCATATTTCATGTGGATTGGTAGTACATTTTCAGCTTTTCTAAGTCTTATTATCAATAAAAAGCCAAAATAATACCTGTTAAGAGATGAACTCCAGTAGGTCACAGAGAAAAGCAGAATATCGTCACACATCAAGAAAGAGACTCATTAACCAATACATGCAAGAGATGTCATGTATGTTGTACTCATTGCTGCACACCCACCGAAAGCGGGTCGAGAACAAATGCAATCTAAAAAGAAGCACCGACCAACCAACAAAAGAACAGGTAATCCAATGCTCAAATGCCATAGAGCGCAGATCCCACATATCACGTATTAGGATCCTCACGCTCCAAAAATGTAGGATCAGCCTCAATGCGACGCTCAAACTTCGCCCACCAATTATGGAAGCTCTTCAGCGGCACAACATCCTGTCCCTTATCATTTTCTGCAAAGCTGGCGAGGAAATTAAACGCATTGCCAATAATGCGCTGCGCCAGCACCTTCGTCGAGATCTGTCTCTGTCCGCCAGCCTGTGGAACCAGCGCCATAGACATCTGACCCGAAGGACGCTCCGCTTCCAGCGCAGCAAGCTGCGGCGCGATATTTTGCGCTTCTTCGATCGAAATGCCCAGTGTCAAGACGCCTGTTGCAGCACCGTTCGCGCCGCCCTCGTCGAGCATATCATCCTCTTCTTCGGCTTCTGAGCGGCGGGGTGTACTGCCCGGTGGGCGTACAGTGAAGATGCCTGAAGGCTTTTCATTTGCCAATGCGCCGATGAAGCGGAAACCGGAGGGTTGGCCTGTGTTCTGGTCTGGGAGTTGGGCGTAGATTGCGGCGCCGGTATTTGAAGGGAGGGTTGTTCCTGGTAGGAAGAAGACGACTATGTCGCTGAGGGATGTGCTGAGTGGGATTGTGAAGGCGAATTTTGTTGCTTGGCCATTCGGTTGGCTGTCTATTGCGACGATGTCTGTTAGGCACGGGCGGCCTGGGACCACGACGGAGAACATGATGGGTGGTAGTAGGGGTGGAGGAGCTGGGAGCAGCTTAAGCAGCTGATGAAGTGGAGATTGGCAAGTTGAGCTGCGATCAAGATTCTTTGTTCAGTTCTTCAAGCTTCTTTAAGCTTCTCTTTGTCCTGTTTTTCGATGATGAAATGACATAGGAGGGGCTGCCCTTATCGTCAGCCGATAAGGGTTTGGCTTGGCTAAACAAAGGTCTGGTATATCAACTCTCGACTTCTACTTCACAATTGGGATCCGCTTCTGCATTCAGAAGTGAAGTGAATATGGCAAAATCAAATTTAGACCTGGTCGGCGAATGCGATAAGTAAAGCTTTCCAACTCGATTACTCCCTCCACTCGCGTTTTCGTCTTACACCCCGCAGCTTCCCCTACTACGAGGATGATCGCGCCGCATACACGGAGAACCTGAACAACTACCATGCATTCAAAGTATCCGGATACGACTGTACACTCGGCTACATCCTCAACGCTGTCGTTGAAAAGTTCCCCTGGTCGGACAAAAGCTGGGCCATCGACTCAACCGCGCAAACCGTGACGCTAGTGGCACCCGCAGGAGCCACCCCGACACACCGGAGCAAGCTCGTCGCAGCCGACATAGCTGAAGCCGTGAAGCAAGACAAATTCGAAGTGCTGAAAGGCTGGCGCAATGAGAATTATGCAGTCTACGGCCCAGGTGGAGAATTCCTACTCGAGATGGAGCGCTCCGCAACCCCGCTCTTCGGCATTGTCTCCTACGGCGCCCACCTAACAGGCTACGTGAAGGATGAATCTGGATACAAGATTTGGGTTCCGCGCCGCGCAAAGAACAAGCAAACCTACCCAAGTCTCCTTGATAACACCGTCGCCGGCGGCATGTGCACCGGCGAGACACCGTTTGAGTGTATCGTCCGCGAAGCTATGGAAGAGGCTTCCTTGCCTGAAGCGGCAGTGCGCGCTGCAACTCTCTCCGCGGGCTGTGTTACATACTCGCATGTGCGGGATGTGCGCGCGGGTGGCGAGACGGGCCTCATTCAGCCTGAGGTTGAGTATATATACGATCTAAGGCTTGATGCTGAGACTATTCCGAAGCCTGGGGATAATGAGGTTGAGGAATTCAAGTTGATGTCGGTTCCGGAGGTGAAGGCGGCTTTAGCGCGTGGCGAGTTCAAGCCCAATTGTGCTAATATCATGGTTGATTTCTTTGTCAGACATGGGTTGCTGACGCCGGAGAATGAGCCAGATTACTTGCAGATTGTTGCTAGATTGCATCGTCGTTTGGAGTACCCGACTGCTTCGCATTGTGCGAGGTAGATTATTTGATAACCTGAGACATCTCTTAGATATCATGAACATAAGCTCTATGAACTCCACCTCGCATTTAAATCTGTATTCGCGTGGGTTCTTTTCCCATTTGCGCGATAAGGCAGTCTTTGTAAAACTTGTGACCCCAATATAGCAAATGATTCGATGGAAGCATGGTGACAGACACACTGCCATCTACTATAAGCGTGAACAAGAATTAAAATGAGCTACTAGAGTCGAATCGATTAGTGATCTCTCGAGTCTTGATAGTACAGCCAGGAAAGAGATCAAGGCACACTGTGCGGCTGCCACCACCAATTATAGCTCTATACGGAGTTTAACCTGCCCCTGGACGGGTTTTGGTTATCGAGCGATCAAGGTTCATCTCATCAATCCCATGAAAATCATGTTTGTTATGATAATCTATTGGTATTCCCAAATCAAAATGCAAAGAACGCCTGCGCTGCACCCCATAAGAACGATATGAACATCGGTCCGGCTTAAATACACCGACTTTTCCCCCATTTGGGTTTTGCCTCAAGATCAATTCAAGATCCGTCTCATCCTATGCCAAGGTCGTAAGCAAAAAAAGAGTTCCAACAATGACAAGCCTATTTCTTAAGCAGCAAGTACACGTGATCGATTCTCAATGGAGCAAGCTTCTTGTAGGGACCCTCAAGGTAGAGCAGCAGACCTCCAAAGGACACAAAGACAGCCCTGAAAATATAAACGTTAGTTTCCGCAAGAACTAACACATCAGTAACGAAACTCACATGGTATCCTTAGTGGCACCCTCCTCAAAGCGGTACACCTTGCCGTGGCAAACATAATCGTAATCATCTGCCAAGGTCTGGTCACCCATGCTGACCTCCCTCCAACTGGCGCGGGTGTCCTCCTTGCCGTCAAGAGAGAGAGTCGAGGCCAGAGCGAGGGACAGTGACTCGCCGACCGCACATGGGTACAGCTCAGTGTTCACGTCCAGGGTGAAAGTGAGGGAGGCATCGTTCGAGTTGCAAGTAAGACGGGAGACGCGGTCATACTTCTGGGCGTTGATCGAGGTGATCGTGAAGGTATCTTCGAACAGGAGCGGGTCGGACATGACGAAGGTTGCGGCCGCTGGTTTTTCGGGCTATAGATGTGGGTTTTGGTAGAGCGTATTATGCGCAAATGATCGCACACAAATTATCGTAGGTTCAAAAGCCCGCAATGGCTAGTTGGTGGTGCGAGAGTGGTGAAGAGAAGAGTTGGAGTCGGAGGTGGAGAGGTTGATCGGAGAATTGAAGCTTTTTTTTCTGCCGCCTTTTGGTCCCCGCCGATAACGATTTCGTTGGTTTGATATCAGCTTCTTATAACTTTACTAGGGGGGTTTTTTTTAACTTCATTTGAACTTATTCATCATGTCCTTTCGCAAGCGAAACATCGGTCTTTCTCCTGGAGTTGATCGCAACGCTGTTCCCAATGCTACCGCACAGCCGGCTGCGCCTGAAAGCACGCCGGGCATTCGCCCCTCCCCCGATGATGGACGGCCAACAACCTCGACAGGGACTCGCTCTCTAGATAATCTTCTTGCAGGCCATGCGGGACTTCCAATGGGAAAGCTGCTGTTGGTTGAAGAAAATGGAACTACGGATTTTGCGGGCGCATTGCTACGTTACTATGCGGCGGAAGGTGTAATCCAAGAGCAGAAGGTTCATGTGGTTGGAGCTCCAGAGCAATGGGGCCGAAGTTTGCCTGGTCTGATCGGCTCGGCGGAGTCCCTGGATGAGAAGAGATCCGACAGGCGCAAGGATGATCGCATGAAAATTGCATGGCGATACGAGCGATTGGGCGAGTTTGGGGCAGTCGCTGGTTCGCGGGGTGGTGAGTATTGAAACAAAAAAATACTTCTAGCTTCAATATGCTGATCATTATAGCCCCGACTAATCCTGGGGAACAGGATACAGCAGCAAAAGAAGCGCCCGCTTTCTGTCATGCCTTTGATCTCACGAAACGTCTCACCCATCCGTCTATCACAAATATGACCTTCATCCCACTTGCGCCCTCAAAAGAGTCACCATTCCTCGCTATCCTCAAACGACTCCAAACCGCAATCACATCCAGCACCGCCAATACAATCCACCGTATCGTCATTCCTTCTCTGCTCAACCCCACAATTTACCCGCCGAACTCTTGCCAACCCGAACATGTGCTCCAATTCTTCCACGCCCTCAAGGCGCTGATGAGTGCGCACAGCGCCCGCGTGACCGCAATGATCACCATGCCTCTGTCTCTCTACCCCCGCTCATCCGGGTTGGTTCGCTGGATCGAACTGCTCAGTGACGGCGTCATTGAGCTTTGTCCCTTCCCGCACTCCGCGGATGCCATGGCTACCTCGGGAGCGGCGACCGCACAAGAAGAACCACCACAGGGTATGCTTAAGACGCATCGGCTTCCAGTTTTGCATGAGCGTGGAGGTGGAAGCGATCAAAACGTTGGACAAGATTGGGCGTTTATTCTGAGCCGCCGGCGATTCGAGATTAAACCATTCAGTCTGCCGCCAGCCGAAGGAGACACAGAGGCGCAAGATGCGTCGGCCCCCGGCGGAAAGCCCAAGAAATCTGATCTTGAATTCTGAGATGCTTGACGATTGGTGTGAGTCCCTAGACTCAATCATCCTCCTCGAAGTGTCGGTGGGTCCCTGGTTCTGCTAGCATATCGTCCATCTCGATCTGCTCGGACATAGCTGGACCCGAGTTGGCCATTGTGCGGAGGTAGCTTGCTCCATATCCATCCAATCCTGGCCGTACAGAACGGAGGCGGTTCCCCAAGCAGGATGAAGCTGCAAGCCATGCTGTTTGGTGTTAGTAATGCGGTCGGGACTAAAAACGGATGCTGCGCAATACTGACCGACAAAGAGTATCATGGGTGCAAAGAATACCAGGAACAGCAGTAGCAAGAAACCCATGATGCCACAGTATAAAAGAAGAAATATAGAATACTCAACGAATGCCAATGAAGAAGATGATAAACACAGTGATACTCAGCAGTTCCCTTGCCAAGATTGACTATTCCTAAAGGGGGCTAGCGTATATGCTCAGCTTTTCCTTTTCTTTTTTTCTTTTTGCTCTTCTCTTCTTCTTTTCCCTCTGCAATCAACCCTGGCTTTACTGGTCAAATCAGAAAGCAATCCCAGGTGTTTGATTATGTTCTCGACACTCTAATACTTGTTTAATGGTAAGCTTCACCCTCATGTCTCCCATCAACCTCCCATCTCGCATGATTATTTAACTACAATCTGTCAATCCCCTGAAGCTCTTTGATACGTCACTGAGTGCTTGCTGAGAAACGTACTGGAAAATGAATCGCGATACTCAAATCTACCTTGCTGGAAACCTGCATATTTGCATATTGGACAAACGCTAACTGTCCTTGCCACAGAATTTTTGAAAGAAGAAAATCCCACAAATCTCAAATCAAAAAAGAAAAAATGGACTTCCAACCAGACCTTCCCATTCCGATCTCCTATGTATCCGGTAGATACCTGTTGTTCTCAATTGACGCCGTGACATACCTGCGACGTGAGCATCACATCTGCGGTGTGCTCATCGGGACGCTGCCGCAGATCCCTCAGCAGAATGTCTTCCTGGGTCTCCCTCTGCAGCTGATGCCCGAGGAGGCACGGCTGTTAGTGGACAAGGGTGTAGCTTGCATCGTAGACGAAGCCAAGGCACACGACGGCATGAATACCCTCTTAGAAGAAGATCGCAGGCGGTACTTGCGCGACCTTGAATCCCAAGGTCTGCACGTCTCGCGCATCCAGTTGGATCGCAAAGAGCGCAACCGAGAACAGACCTTGAAAAAAATAGAAGAAAAGAAAGCGAATGCCAAGGCCAAAGCCAATGCTGCGGCTGCCGCCCAGACACCTACGGTTCCTGATGAGGCTGCTTCCACCCCGTCGCCGAAGAACGCTGCCATCGTTGACCTCTTCAACACAGAGGATCGCTCATCGTCTCCATCCACCCCCTCAACGAGTGTACCCTCTCAGGCCGCAACGGCCATTACCCCCGCAACATCCTACCCGCCTCTTCCCACGCCTTCACCCTCGAGCTACCTTGAAGCACCCGTGGTTCCACCCTCATATCCTCTCTTCGCCCACCTCCACTCCAGAGGATACTTCCTCTCCCCCGGCCTCCGCTTTGGGTGCCAGTACATGGCTTACCCGGGTGATCCGCTGCGCTTCCACTCGCACTTCCTCGTGGTGTCCTACGACTGGGACCAGAATATCAATCTCATGGATCTCGTTGTCGGCGGCAGACTGGGCACTGGTGTAAAGAAGGGTTTTTTGATTGGCGGAGCGCAGAAGGAAATCGATGAGGTCGATTCGGAGGCTGATCGTGTGGATACTGTGCGGGCTTTCAGTCTCGAGTGGGCTGGAATGTGAGATATGAAAGGACATGAAGGGTTTCATACCCTTCATTTGTTTTGATTTCCCATCTATCAAGCTTATAGCTTTGATTTGCCGTCGCAAGAGTTCCATGGAACTCATGCACCACGCTACCCAGTCGTTCTTGCCTGCCTTCGGGTTCCTCGTACGAGATGCACGACTTCCAACTGTGTCTGATTTCATTGAACCAGGCAAAGAACCACCCCGGCGATTTGGATAATCCTCGATCAACAAAGATCCATGATATCCCCGCCCCAAAGGTGGTCTACCATGGCTTCGCCTTCTAGCGACTTAGGTAGGAGGCTTGGAAGGGCAAACAACATGTGGTTGAGAAGGGTCGATATGTCTCTAGTCTATCCATGCATTGCCTAACTGGAAATAGCATATCATATGACCATGATGCCACTCGCAGAAAATTATTCATCAAATGAATATTTACACATTAGACTGATTGTCCTAGTAAATCTGTAGTATTATGTTACACTTATAGATGGTATGTTTCGCCTATTTCTAGTTAACTTATTGGGGATAGAGCGTAAAATTTCTTCATAAACATCGTTATCCAATTGACAGTCCCCCCCTGATGACTTAATGGGTTATTCGAGCTGAAATCTTGGGCTCGGCGCTCTTTCCTTTGTTGGATAGGGGATGTGTGCCTTTTCGCGTTAGGGTGCTACATTGCGCGCTGTGGTATCATGCAGTGAGCTTGGCGAAGCAAGGCTGGGTCTATTTTGATAGAGCATCCAAAGTATCGGTATGAAGCTGGAATGTCAAAGACTCGGAGTCCGGGGCGCAGGTAGCCGAGCGTACTTGTAACGCTAGAAGCCGCTTCACGTTTGAGCAGTCAATTCCATCAGTAGTAAATTGACGAGAACCAGACAGCATGACCGCCGTCTCAAATGTAATCGACGTTCCTCCACTTGAACTTCTTATTAGCTCTGTCCACCGGCCGATTCTCGAACTGGTTTCCATGCAGCTCGAAAACCAACGGCTTGGGCGCTTTCGCATCAGACTGAGTCTGCTGATCTTGCGCACCCTCAGATGGCGCTGGCACGGGCACCGTG